GCGCTGCTCCTCCCTGAAACGCCGCGGCCGTTCAACGCTCCCAGCCGCGCTTGACCCAGCCCCGGTCCCCGTCCCTGCGGTCGGAGGGGTTCGCTGTCCGCCTCCAGCAGCTCAAAAAGTTGCCCCAAACCATATTAAGAAGCCCGGGAAAGAATTTAATCCCTTTTGCAAAAGCCCGGGACTCTGCCGGGGTAGCTTGTTGGTCTAATTCTCCGTTTGATCCGAGCTAGTTTATCCCGTTTATCCTGGCTAGTTTATCCCAGGCTGCGTAGGAGTCCTGAGGAGACGCTTACGCAGCACTTGGAAGTGCAGGTCTGTATTTCAATCAAACAGAAAGATGAGAAACCCCTCACCTCTGCAGAGCTCAGCACGCAGCCCTCAGCACTAATCCCGCAGAGGGTTCAAATTCCTGTTTCTCTTTTCCTCGGCAGGCCACGAGCCTAGACTACAGGCATGAATCAGAGCATTTCTCGCAGAAAGAAAAACACTTTAACGTGTTAAGTTGTGATCTCATTTCCACCCTTTTTTCCTTAGCTTGGGAAGCGAAAACCTCTTACCTAACTGCCGGGAGTCAGAGGGGCAGCCTGCCCTGCAGGGAGGGACGGCTCGCTGTGACTGGAGCCAGCCCTCCCGCGTGCCGGGGCAGAATTGGGCCCCGTTCAAGGGGCTGCCTGTGGAGGCTGGAAGCCGAGAGGCTCCGCAGGGCTGGGCGTTGGGTGTGCGGGTGGAACGGCCCGTGAATGAGCTTTCCTCCGCGTCCGTGTCTAATAGAGGAAGATAAAAATTTGACTTCTGGGGGGGAGAAAAGAGGTTTCTCTTGGAGGTAGCTGACAAGGACGACAGCGGCTGGAGGAAGGCTGTTGTTTCATGCTGCCGTAAACCTCGCTAGGCTGTGCAGGAAGGACCCGGTGGGCAGCATGGAGTTTGTGACCTGTGGAACAAGTGCTCCACTTAAAAACCGTACTTTCTTTTTGTCTTTTTAATAAACCTACGTGAAATGACCACGGCCTCTTCTAAAGGGTTTTCATGCACCAAGATCTCCCCAAAGTCCCTATTGTGTTAAATGTCTGGCGGTGCGGAGAAGTCGCCGTGCTTCTGGCGCAAGCAGGGGAGCCCCGTGGATGAGGTAGGGATGTCTCCGACGTGAGAGGTTCGAACAACTCGCTAACGACTACTCGTGGGGCTGACGCAAAGGATCTGCAGCAGTCGGTGAGGGCGAGTGGCTTGGATCCAGCGAAGCTTGTAAGTTCTGGGATGATAAATGGCACGTGGTTCTGCTGCTCGGTTGTTATTACTGGCCTAACCTATAATCAGTTCCATGTGGCTTTGCAGCTTCAGTGCTGTTCTTCATCTTGGAGAGTTTTGCTCTTCCCGTCGCTCCCTTGGAAAAAGTACTGGATCGTGTTTTGCTCTTCACTATCAGATTGAGTTTCTCTGCTTGAAACTACTTCTCACCCGACTGTAGTGAAAACTGCCTTGGAGAAGAGGACTTTTGTGCTACAGATGACAGCTGTGTCACATTCTAAGGTGACATTTGGCTGTGCTCTGGAGGAGTTTCTAATTCACTTGCTGTGAATGCTCTGTGGCACGTGTTGTGTCTGCACCGGAGGGTTAAGTGTCATTTAAGAAGAACCTGGTGTTTTGCAGAGACCTGTGTTAACAGAGGCAAAAGAGCAAGAGTGAGGGGAGGGGACAGGGCAGCTGTAGCAGCAGAATGTGGGTGTTTCTCTGAGCTGGGTGCCTGCGTTGTCTTTGGTGTGGTCTGGGTCCTTACAAAGGTCGTAAGGACGCGAGCAGGAGCAGAGGTACCCCGGCGTCAGAAGGGGGTGGTCTCCTCAAGGCAGTTCTCCTCACCAGCCCGTGGCCGCCACTTTATATCGAGAAAGAGTTATGAGCTGCAGATGACCCAGCAAAACTGTAAGCTTGTGTACGCAGTGCAGTCTGAGTGTATTTGGAAAGGAAAATCTCCTCATCTGGGGGAAATCTGGCGTGTTATTTCCTCGTGGCTGGACCCTGATGCAAGTGGGACTGCAGAAAAGGGGAAAAAATGACCCAATAATGTCTTGATGTTGCAGCAGGTGACTGCCCGGCGGGTTCGCTGCAGTGCCGTGCCATACGTCGGATCAAAACTGAACAGTCTGCTCGTGGAAGACAGCCATGAAGGGAACGTTGCGTCTTGTTCAGACCAAAATTTGGAAGCTGTTTTGTCATTATTGATTGCAGCTTGGGGCTTCAGCAATTTCTGGCTGAGAGGAAGGAAACCTGTAAGATGCTTAAACCAAAAAAGTACAGAACCAAAACACCCAAATGCTGTGTTTGGGTTCCTAAAATGGCCAGTCAGAATCTGATTTCATTGTTCCGTGAAAGATATAAACGTGTTGAACGTCAAATCTAAGTTACGATATATTGCTAGAAATTTTCCAGGAAGAACTGGTGCCTGGTGAGATTCCAAATGCTGTGGTTTGGTATTTTATGGGTGGGAAATGAGTTAAACCTTCCATCACACTGATACTTAAATGGTTTCTGTCACCAGTTTTCATACATCTGACTGTATGCGGTTCTCTGTGCCTGTCAGGCAGTTCTAGCTGACGGGTAATGACAGTTTGTCTCTTGGATTTAGCTGAGGCTTGGCACTAACCGCTTGCTGCACGAGTTTCACTGGCTTGATTCAGATCAGATCTGTAAATCTGCGCCGTAGCTTCAGAAGAGGGAGGTCAGTGCCCCACAAAGGTGAGTAAAGCTGTGGTTGTTCTGAGCGCAGCCTTGTTACCGTGGGACAGGAAAGGGTATTCGTTCCTCCTTGTCTTTGATCGGGGACTGCTCCTAGCACGTCCCGTTGCTGGGAGTAAGTAGC